GGTAATATACAAACATACAAGGGGCGATTAGTCGCAAAATGTTTTTGATAAGTTCATGGTATAGACTATAATGAAACCTTTCTCCTATAGCTATGTTTAAATCCATTCGAATTTTTCTAGCAATAGTTGCATTCCATGATTATGAAATATGACGAATTGACATCAAAACCATTTTCCTTAATGGAAACTCCAAGAGGATGTGTATATGACACAACCAGAAGGTTTTGTCACTCCAAGAAATATTGGAAAGGTTTGCAAGCTACAAAGGTCTATTTATGGACTAAAGTAAGCTTCTTAAAGTTGGAATATTTGTTTTAATGATGCAATCAAAGAATTTAGTTTTATAAGAAACAAATATGAACTTTGTGTTTATAAAAAGAATAGTGGGAGCATTGTTTCTTTCCTAATCTTGTATGTAGATGACATACTCATAATAGGAAATGATATACCTACTTTACAGTCTATTATGACTTTGTTAAGTAGTTGCTTTTCTATGAAAGATTTGGGTGAAGCAACGTAGATCTTAGGAGTTAAGTTCTATAGAGATAGGTATAGACGAGTTCTAGGTTTGAGTCAAAGTACATATATAGAAAAAGTGCTGAAAAGGTTTAGTATGGAAGAATCCAAGAAATGATTCTTGCTTATAAGACACAGTGTTTCTCTTTCGAAGGAAATGTGTCCTTCAACCCTAAAAGAGAGGGAACAAATGAGTAAGATTACATATGCTTCAACTATTGGTTCTATCATGTATGCCATGATATGTACTCGACCAGATGTATCGTATGCTTTGAGCATGATGAATCAGTATCAAGGAAACCCTGGTAAAAATCACTAGGTTGTAGTTAAAATATCCTTAAGTTCTTGAGAAGAACTAAGGATACATTTCTTGTTTATGGAGGTGAAGAAGAGCTTAGTGTACAAGGTTATACTGATGTCAGCTTTCAAACTGACAAGATGACTCACGATCACAATCGGGTTTTGTGTTTTGTCTTAAGGAGGTGCTGTGAGTTTGAAAAGTTCAAAGCAAAACACAATATATGATTCTACAACAGAGGTTGAATATATTGCAACCAGTGAAGCAACAAAAGAGATTGTTTGGATCAAGAAGTTCATATATGAACTAGGGGTTATTCATAGCATATTAGATATTGTAGAACTATGTTGTCATTCGATAGATCATAGATCGAGGAGATGTGGAGATATGCAGAGTATACACCGATGGAAACATTGTTGATCCCTTGACGAAGCCTCTATCGCAACAGAAGCATGATCATCAAACTGAGTCACTCGATATTAAATATGTGAGTAATTGGTCTTATTGCTAGTGGGAGATTGTTTGAGTATGCCTAAAGACTAATTATATGATGATTGTTTTGACACGCTTTATTTACCGTAATTATCAAATAAAGACATTATTGTTATTTTCTTTTATTGCATTTATGTGCATCGAATAATCTAAAAGATAATAATGTATGTATAAAAATGTGATTATTATTAAAAGATCCTTAGTCAAGTGTTATTATGGGCCTGAACAATAATAATACGCTTAAGACTAACATGATATTGATTGATGACAAAAAGTAGTCATTGAAATAGAGATGTCAAAATTAATACATGAATATATTGTCTGAACAATATATTGGATTGACCTGCCATGAGCATATGTCTTGTATTATTATGTGATGGTCACGATATTGCTCATAGTGACAACTGTATGTATAATCCTTAGACTTGAGATCATTACAATCTCAACATATATTGTTGTATGTTTTAATAAAGTTAAGCGTGCTCCATAACTGGTTACACTTTAAAGACTTACATTGAACATATCACAATATATGTAGCAGGGTGTGAATGATCGAGATAGGATTTTTCCTTCCTACATAATATGAAATATATCATAGGCCACTGGATTGAGTGAGACTAGAAATGCATGGCCATGCTCGAATAAGTTGATATGAGATATCACAATTATTCGTTTATTATAGTCGACTCTAGATATCAAGAAATATTAGATGGGCTAAACAAGTGTGACTGTTCCAAGGCTTGTGCCTATTCTAGATATAAAGGACAAAATGATATAATACATTAAAAGAGTTAGTCATGGACACGTTATGTCGAATCATGACTTCCCGTAACTTAGGTAACAATAACATATTGCTAGATGTCACTCATTATTTGTAATATTAGAATTCTAATTATTACTATTAACGTCATAGGAACCTACAGGGTCGCACCCAATGGTTGAAAAGAGAGCAACTCATAAATGTGTCACATATGTACAATTTGATTGTACATGAATAAATTGTTTATTTAATATATATATATATAAATGTATATATATGTGTGTGTGTGAGAGTAATTTTAATTGCACAAGAATACCAGATTTAATAATATAATTAAAGTAATTATACTCACAATTAAATTTGAAATTTTTAAAAAACCCTAATAGCGAGGGTGACACATATATAAGGGATATATTGGTTTAGTAACTGATCGCTTGTAAATGTATATACTAAGGCAAGCAAATCTGTGCAAGTATACACAATCGATGCAAATAATATAGTAGTGAGTGAGTATCGTCTCCATAGGGATTGTATTAGAAATATATTTTCACCACAACTAGAAATAATGTTCACAAACTAAATCCTACAAAGTATTTGAACTAAGAAGATGCTAAACTATTGTCTTGACAACAATTATTCTAAGTTCTGAATGAATTATTATGCCTTACTAAGATGCCCGACAGGATTACTAGGTATTCTTGGATGGTTGCTATGGTAATACCTCTCGGTGTTAACTATAGACGTTGTCTTAGCCTACTCTAGCAATGATCCCTTTTAGTCGCTTGAAGCTTACTCCTTATCTCTAAGGTAGACAAGTAAGAACTTCACCATCCTGGATTCATTCCTTTGCTCACGTTGATCTATATTAATTCTATCGAATCTAAGAATCACTATCTAGACAAAAGGCTATCTCTCGATGCTCTTACAATGCCAAGAAATGTTTTACCGAAACCCCAGACGATCTCTTGATGCTCTTACAATGTTAAGGCAAAATATTTAAACTATGAGAAAAACAATCATAAGCATGCATAATTCATCATTCATAAACATTAAAATATTGTTTAGGCAAAACAAAGTTTAACACCAAGTAAAGCATTCATGGTGTTATCAAAGATCATCTAAGATTTAACCGTTTAATACAACCCCAAATAAAATAAGAATTAAGAACAAAGGAAGAACGACTCCTAAAATCGGGGGCTCTGTCGCGACAATCCTGATCAGCACCACGCCTGCCTTGTTGATCACCCATTCTCGAGGCCTGATCACCGCTCTGCTATCGTCTGGCTATGGAGGACACCAAGGAAGATTGGTGGGTAGACAGTGGGAAAGCACTGCAGTTGCTTGCTCACGCCTTAGGTAAAGATCTTCTCTCTTCTTCTTCCTTGCCTGTTTCTCTTTGCGGCTACGGCTAAATATTTATAAGGAAAAATGTCCTAGGGCTTTGCATGCTTTTGGAGTTTCCTTAATTAGCCGTTTTTAATTTCCCAATCTTAAAAAGGAAAGGCGGTTGGTGGATGTCAGAACAATCAAGGCTTGCTTGCACGTAAAGTATGTTATCCAGCTGTCATATGACATAGGCGGTTTTGCCACACATGCTTCAGACTTCTTCATATAAATCTTGCCTCAACGAGATAAATCTGCTCTTCACGTTCTCTTCTGTTCCGTTGACCTTTGGAACTTTTCATTGTCACGAATGAAATGTTCTTCCTCTGTAGAATTCCTGCACAAACACAACTCAAACAACCCTTTCTCCTCACCAGCATAAGTCAAGCCAAATAAATCTTGCCTAAGCAAAACTTATCCACCACAGGCTAGTATAACCTATATGCAACTAACAATGCAGTGCATACTTTGTTTAAACGAGCAATAACTTAAGTGAAAATACTAGAAATTGAGTCTTTTTACGGAGTTATCACACCTCCAAACTTAAACTATTACTTATCCTCAAGCAATGGATAATAGCTAGAAGAAAATTAAAATTGTCATGGCAAAGCAGTATCAAGAACATCATCAGGTTTGAGATTTCAGCCCTCAGCAAAAATATTTGGCCTTAACATGTTCGACAATCATATCAGTCAAGTCCTTTCCCTAGTCAGGATCCTTTTCTATGGTGTGTGCGTGATTGTAACCAGTCTATGCATAGAGGTAATTAGAAAACTTAAAGTAAGCACTTCTAGGTTATCAAGGCAACAAACTACTCATCAGGCTTAGTTTATACTCCTAGTTATTTATCAACTTTTATTCTCTTTATTCACACATTTTTTTTATTATATGGGAGTCAGCTCATCACACTTTCTGTTCCACACTCTAGGTAAAAGGGATCATACCTTCCACCCCCAAGCTAGTCGGGCAGAGTTATCCTGTGACTACTTTCATTCACTCATATGCCTTGGTTACTCTTAATTTCTTTTGGAGTTTTTCTTTTTCATGCCTTTGCACAGAGGAGTGTCCCTTTGTGTTTTTCGAGTTTTTCAAGTTTTTAAACACTAGAGAGTTTTTACTTTACCCTTAGAATATTTTTTTTGAAGTCTCGGCAATTAGAAATTTCTTTCCTAAAATTTTTACAGATTACCTAGAGCAAAGACAACCTACAATCGTGTTTATAAATTTCAAAGAATCAAGGCTAGGGTTGGTTCTCTTCTTTAGACAGTCTTAACAATAATTTATGGCCTAGACAATAAAATTCTGCTTTCATCATTGGACATCCCTAATTCATTCCTAACAATAATGTTTACCTGCTTATGTCATGACAACCAAATTTTTCAACCAATTAACATCAATTACTATTTAACAAAGTATGGCAGAACGGTACAACACCTCACCCAAACTTGAGGGGTGCATTATCCTCAATGCATGAAAACTACACTATATGATTTTGTATACAGATGCAAAAGAAAAAAAATTAAAAAGAAAATGATAACTAAGAAGAATAACTTACTTTGGTGGGGTGGCTTGATTGGATGCCCTCGTGCGGCGTAGTTTGGGAGGAGAGAGACTCTCGGATCCGGAGTCTACTATTGCTGGGGAAGGAGATGGCTGATGTATACGTCCTGCTATTCTCTTGTATATCTTCTTGCTTGACGAGGCGTGTGCTGGAGTGGACTGCTCGGTCGTAGGAGTCTGTTGTGCTGAGATGGGTGGTGTACTAGGAATTTTTGTTGGGACTGGTGGTGCTGATTGAAACGAGGATGAAATAGGATCATGCTTGGGCTGCTTTGGTGCTGGCGTGAAATCTTCATTAGTGAAGAAGTGGGGTGGAGTATCATCGTTACTTTCGGTGGTCGAGAAGGATGAGGAACTGAGGAACTCTTCTGTGTCACCTTGGCCTTCTTCTGGCACGGGTGGGACATGGGTTGCCAGTGGTGGCACATCGGTGGACACTTCTGGTCGAATGTTTGGAGGGACATAAGATGTTGAGGCATGGAATGTACTGCCGCTTGCATCGTAGCTAAGGATAACACTAGGAAAGGTTGGCAGTCTGATCATTGTGGTCGGTAGCAACTCCTTGATGAAGGCGTTGAGTTGCATGTCCCTTGCCTTGGCATACTCGAAGTAAATTTTCATGTGGTCCTCCAGGCGTCCGATCTTTTCACGAAGCTCTCGAGTGTGCGTAGCCACAACAACCATTCTAGCCACGACAACTGATTTTGCGCCTCGCTCCAAATCTTCCTTTGGGTCGTCATCATTGAAACTCATCAACTCGGGGACCTTTTTCTTTGTAATACCCTCATTGGGTTTGATGAAATCTTCGAATGGTTCCTCATGAACCTTTTTCTTCCTGCATATCGTGGTTATAAGGTTTGAAAATAGTAGGTTACCCCGGTTCCGTTTGGCACAGTCATGGATATGCTCAAAGATGATTTCGTCCACGTCGATCTTCCTACCATATATGATCGAGTGCAAGAGCAGCAGTTGCTTACGAGGATAGTGGTGTTGTGGGACGTTGACATCAGTTTGTCTTTGAGAAATGGTTTTATAATTTCACGTGCGGTTTTAGGGCTCGACGATTTACTCATTTCCTTGTGGGGGCATTCCCTTCAAACTTGGTCCATCTAAAGAATAAATCCTATATAACTCTATTGTACGTTTCTTGATATGCTTCGACCACAAATCTCTTATGCTGGTCATCCACTTTTCCCAACTTAAAGTATTTGTTGAGTGCAGAGGGGGAGAAGCGAATGAGTTTTCCTCAAACATATATTGTGTGGTTTGAGGGGTCCTCAAGATGGGCATAGAACTCCCGCACCATTACTGGTGCTACGACGCTAGGATTTCGAGCAAACTTATCCCAGGTATGATTCTTTATGAAGTCCATCACCTCGGGTCCAAACGGTTCCTCGCCCTCGGCTGGAGAAATGAATCCATCTTCCAAATATACTTGGTGTTGCTGAATGGTTTTGAAGCGTTCTTCTGCTTTGACTGTTTGTAAATGTTTGAAACTCTGTTTGGGGGCTGGGGTCGGTCTTGATCTCACCATTTTTCTTGGCTGAATTTAGTGGTGGCGATGGGGAGGTATTTTTGAGAGAAAGAATTTTTTTCTGGTTTATAGAGAAAGAGGGAAACACGATGAAGAAGAGGTTGGTGGGTAGTTTTTATTGGAAAGTGATGGGTGGTTTCAGGGTATTTTAGTCTTTATATGGTGGGGAAAAGATTTCTCATTAAATGAGAAATATGTGATTTGACATAAAGGAGGAGAAAAGATTTCTTTCCCCCTTTACTCTCCGCCAAAACCTTGTGCCCTAGTTTGTCCTTTTTCCTTCATACATGCTTCAACTCCCCATGCTGCCACGTGTTCCTTGCTTGCCTACAATATGAAAGAAGAAAATAATAAAATAAAATGGATTAAAGCAGAAAATAACTTAACTTATTTATGTACAAAATTCAGATTTTCGTTGCATAGGTAACAAATATTTGCTCAATTAAGTAAAGTAAACTCTTGGGTATCATGTGCCAACGATGTCGGTTTATCGCGCATGACTGGGGTTCCTTTGTACTCCTTGAGTCTATTTTCGTTTACCTTAAAGATAGAACCATCGTTTTGGTTCTGGATTTCAATTGCTCCATTGTCATGGACTTGGTGAACAATGAATGGTCCTGACCATCTCGATTTTAGCTTTTCTGGGAATAACTTAAGGCGTGAATTGTAGAGCATTACTTGTTGTCAAGAATAAAATTGCCTCGGCAATATTTTTCTGTCATGCCATCGTTTTGTTTTCTCCTTGTAAAGCAGGGCATTTTCGTATGCATGTGCTCTAAATTCATCCATCTCGTTCAGCTCCAAGAGTCTTCTTTCTCCAGCAAGCTGAGCATCCATGTTTATTTTTTTGATGGCCCAATAAGCTTTTTGTTCAACTTCAACTAGTAAATGACATTCCTTCCCGTAGACCAGCTTGAATGGGGACATTCCCAGCGGTGTCTTGAATGCTGTGCAATAAGCCCATAGTGCTTCATCTAGCTTCGGCGACCAATCTTTTCAACCTGGGTTGACCACTTTCTCAAGGATCTGCTTGATTTCTTGGTTAGACACTTCGGCTTGTCCATTCGTCTGAGGGTGATACGCCATAGCGATTCTATATCGTACTCCATATCTTTTCAGTTCCTTGGCAATCAATTTATTGTTGAAATGTGTGCCTTCTTCGCTAATGATAGCTCGTGGTGTTCCAAAGCGGGTGAATATATTTTTGTGCATAAATTTCAACACCGTCTTGGACTCATTCTTAGGTGTTGCAATGGCTTCAACCCATTTTGATACGTAATCCACTGGCAAGAGAATGTACATATCTCCGAATGATGTTGGAAAAGGTCCCATGAAATATATTCCCCATACATCGAAAAGTTTGATTTCCAGAATGTTTTGCCATGGATTCTCATGCGCGTCTCTGAAGCACTTTTGCTGCTGTTCTCATTCCACCAAAATGCCCTCCATATGGTCACGTGTGGCATTGGCGTAGGATATCTTGCTGCTCTTCTTCTGGAATGCATCTTCAGATTATTTGGTCCCCGCATTGCTTGAATAGAAATGGTTCATCCCAGAAGTAATTTCGCACATCATGTCGAAATTTCCTTTTGCCCTGGCTAGATAAATCAAGAGGAACCATACCACTATTAAGAAAATTAACTATGTCAGTATACCACGGTGCAGTCGTGACAAATAATATTTTCTCATCAGAGAAATCCTCTTTAATTTCTGTAATGTCAGGACAATCAGTTTTGTTATCTAGCCTAGACAAATGGTCTGCCTCTTGATTTTCTATACTTTTTCTATCCTTGATCTCTAAATCAAATTCTTGTAGGCTTTGCATCTTTTTTATTAATAAGATATTTAATGGCTGAGTGATCTGTGTGCAAAATTACCTTAGTGCCTATTAGATATGGCCTCAACTTATCGAATGCAAATACTACTGTTAAGAGCTCTTTTTTAGTGGTGGTATAGTTTACTTGTGCATCATTAAGAGTTCAGCTTGCATTATAGATAACATGAAAAATTTTACTTTTGCCCTAGCACTGCTCCGACTGCATAGTCACTAGCGTTGCACATGAGCTCAAATGCTTCGTTCCAGTCTGGTGGGATAACAATTGGTGTTGTCGAAAGCTTTTTCTTCAAATCTGTGAAGGCATTTAAACAATCATTAGTAAATTCAAATGGTTGATTTTATTGAAGCAAAAGAGATAAGGGTTTAGAGATTTGAGAAAAGTCTTTTATGAACTACCTGTAAAATCCTGCATGTCCAAGGAAACTACGTACACCTCGCACATTAGTAGGTAGGGACAGATTTACAATTGCATCCACTTTGGCTTTGTTGACTTCGATACCATGGCATGAAATTTTGTGACCCAACACTATTCATTCAGTTACCATAAAATGGCATTTTTCCCAATTCAGTACTAGGTTGGCTTCTTCACATCATTTTAACACCTTGGATAAATTGCCGAGACATCGATCAAAGTCCTCACCCGAAATGGAGAAGTCATCCATAAATATTTCCATGCACTCTTCCACCATATCAGAAAAGATTGCCATCATGCATCTTTGGAATGTAGCTGGAGCATTACACAGTCCAAACGACATTCATCGAAATACATAGGTACCATACGAGCATGTGAAAGTTATCTTTTCTTGGTCCTCGAGTGCTATGGCAATTTGGTTATATCTCGAGTATCCATCGAGGAAGTAATAAAATGCTTTTCCCGCTAATCTATCCAACATTTGATCAATAAAAGGGAGGGGGAAAATGATCCTTCTTTATGGCTTTGTTGAGCTTCCTGTAGTCCATGTATATGCGCCAGCCTGTGACTGTTCTCGTTGTGAGTAACTCATCATGCTAGCTTTTGACCATGGTCACACCACCTTTCTTTGATACTCATTGTACTGGGCTAACCCATGAACTATCAGATATAGGATAAATTACTCCCGCATCCAACCATTTTATTATTTCCTTAATGACTACCTTCTTCATGATCGGGTTGAGCCGTCTTTGGGGTTCTATCGAGGTACTGTGGCTATCATCGAGATTGATTTTGTGCATGCATATTGTCAGACCGATTCCCTTCAAATCTGCCATCATACAACCTATAACTTTCCTATGCTATGACAAAACATTCAACAAACTATTCTCCTGTTCAGAGGTTAGGTTGGCTGAAATAATCACTGGTAGGGTTTCATCAACTCCTAAATAAACATATTTCAAATGTGATGGAAAAGTTTTAAGTTCCAATTTTGGTGCATGTTGTGAAGATGACTTTTGAGACTTAACTTCATCATAATCTAAAGGTTCAAATTTCATACCTGACCTATGAAGAAATATCGATTGGTCCTTTGTTTTTCCTTCACATCTTGCCTTGGTATCGCTTTCAGGGTGTTCATTGCTCAGATTTCTATGGTAGGGGCCATAATTTTCAAAATCGTCTTCTGAAAATAATTCATCTTGGCCAAAGTTTTCTACATCATGCATCTCAGTTGTAGGTTCATGGTACAAATTACTGTATTCATCGAGCCTTAAGGATTCACCTCGTCCAAGGATTGCCTTTTCTTCAATCTTATTAATGCATTGGCATTCCGCTGGATCATCCACGTATTTCATAGAGTTGAATACATTGATCGTGACTCTTTGCTCTTCAATTCTCATGGTGAATTCTCCCTTTTCATAATTTATTAAAATTCTACCGGTGGCTAAGAATGGGCATCCCAAAATGATTGGTGCGTTTTCATCGGCTTCGCAATCCAGGATGAGAAAATCAACTGGAAATACAAATTTATCCACTTTTACTACAACATCTTCAATTCTGCCCTCGGGTCGCACATAAGACTGATCAGCCAGTTGTAGGATGACTGATGTGGGATGGGCATGATATTTATCTAGTTTCATGAATATGGACTTTGGTATCAAGTTTACACTTGATCCCAAATCAATAAGAGCTCGTCCTATGATGTCATTACCAATGGAACATGGTATCACAAAGCTTCCAGGGTCTTTTTGCTTTGGTGG